AATCCTCTGATATTGACATTTCAAATTCCAACCTATTTAAACCAAAAAATGAATATTTCTGAATGAATGTTTTCAAAAAATGAATTCCAGAAGCAGTATATCATATAAAGTTTTGACCATCAACTTTGTCCACTGCTAATGATGATTTAAATAGCATAGATGAGATCGATCGCAATTGCGTACTGGCCGAAAAATAAATATATTCCTAATAATTATTTATATCTACGTGTTTGACATAAATCTTTTCAATTAATAATCTTCACAGTTTTGCAAGTCTTCACGGCATTCATCCTTCGATATTAAATATCGCTTATTAAATCCCTTATTGGATATTATAACCGACTTATATCTTCTTAATTATTTTTTTTTCAGTTATTTAAATAATTGGAATGTGGATTACTCTCAGTGTAATAGCCATTGATAAACAACACAATGCATTTGTACTAATCACATCAGTACTTATCAAATACACACTTACCTATGGCGTGCATTGGATCCGAACGAGTCTGATAATTTTCATTTGAAGTAGTCCCGGATATACCTTGTCAATTTAGATTAAATTAACTGATTTATTTTAGGTAGTTTTTTTTTTTTAAGGGACTTTTCCTACTTTGTCTTTGTTCTCCATGTGAATTTCCTCAGTTCCATGCAATGCGTGGTAACTATTGTTTCGAGAATTTTTTGTCGCCGATATCTCCGAAGTCTATAATTTAGAAATCAAAAGAAATGCCTTTCACTGTTGCCTCTTCACAGGCTAGGCCATTAACAGTTCATTTTAAGTTGGCCATGAATATTTAATTAACTCCCTAACTGACTTTCTCGATTCACATTGTAAGAGAAGTGACCAAATATCTTCAAAAGTGACAAGTTCATTATTGAGACCATTTCTGCCAGTTCTCGAAACAGCCTTTCACGAATTTGAATAGTGTAAGCTACTGCAATTTGAGAACAGCAAAAAAAAAAATTATTCTTACAGGTAGTAGTTTATCTCGTTTTGATTAATTGATGATGAGAAAAAAATGTTACCTGTTTTTGATGGGATTGACAATGAAGTTTTTTGCTGTCTGATGCGGACGCAAGATGGTTGATAAAGGTTCATATAATAGTTTCCTTAGCAAATACAAAGAATGCCAAACGGAGTTATGGATGATTTCGTTATGTAAAATTGGTTAAATTGGAAGTCGAATGAAAATTAAATGGAAGTCTGAAAATGGGAAGGCTATTGATCGTTAAAATTTGTAACAAAACTAATTTAAAATTGAATCATAATGAAAGGGGAGTAAACCTTTTAGTTGGATTGTTGGATGTTGATTGTTACATATATAAGAATGGTTGCTATGAGATTTACCATAAAACAAGATTAGACAAGAATTTGCATGGAAATTAGCTTATCAAATACATGCAATGTTTTGGACATTAAATGGAAAATACTTTCACATGATTTAAACATTTAATAATTGACTCATTACTTTAAATATGAGCAAATATTTATATTATTTTTTATTTGAAATGATAAATCCTTTATTTAGAATATATTTTAAACAATAAATACTTTGATTGAATGTATAAAATTTTTCTTGGTTTGCTACATTGATTATTTTTTCGTTTCAATTTTACTATCTACTGTAATTGTTGGATTGATTAGTGAATCTTTGAGCGATAAAGCACAAATATATACATTAAAAAAAAAAAAGAAAAAGATTTGCAAGAAACGAGACATTTAGATACTATCTGGACATATTCTTGCTAATACATATATATGTATATATTACAAAAACATTAACGAGGATGAAGGGATAAATTAATTTGCAATAACTGTTATACAGTAATTTTTCGTGACATAAATTAGATCAACAGGAGTAGGAATAAAAATATATTAAAAATATTAGGAAAAAAAAGAGGGTGTCAAGAAATAAAAAAAATAGTTTAATAAAGGAATGCAAAAATGCATGAACTTCAATTAAAATTAAGTTTCTTTCGGATAACTTTTGCTAAATTATTATTGAGATTACAGTAGTAGTAGTAGTAGTAATTTTTATAAAAACTTAAACTTACCTTAAAAAGCTTATTCAGGTAAATTTGATTTTACTCTAAATGATTGAATTAAATGGTACAATAATCTTTTTCAATCCTAACAAGTAATTTTCTGTATTGACTTTGGAAGCAAAAAAAAAAATAAGAATAAGCGAAAATGATTATGATAATTTTGTGGCGATAAGTATTAACAATTTGGGGGAGAAATATTTAGCATTTCTAAAGGTAATGAATTTGTCACAAAAAAAGTACAGTATTTTTAGAATAATGCAGTAAACAAGGGATACCGAAAATGCAAATTTATTTAGCTAGGAAGTAATATAATTAAGAAAAGTTATTCAGCTGGGAAGTAATTTAATTTAGAAAAAAAAAGCAAAAATTTGTGAATTTTCAATTTTGTTCAAAATATTGTTTCATAATTTCATTGCTTTTTTTTTCAACTTAATTATTGCTCCAAACAAAATCCGAAATAATAATGATAATGAGTAGATGACAATGACCGGTCAGCACATATCATCGATCAGAGCTAGTGTATGACTTTTAGTTGGAAGTGATGATAGATATAGGAAATGTAAAACAACGAAATTTGAATATAAATTGAAAAAGTGAATAAATAAATTTTACTAAATAAATTATGTTCTATTTCTATACTTTCAAATTGTGGTAATTTTATTTGCTTGGTTTTATACAATTTTCAACAATCTTTAAAAAAAGTATAATTTTATCATGTAGATTTTATCCGACCAATCAATGCTAGCAATATGACATGCAATAATTTAATTACTATTTTTCAATTTTTTTAATTTTGCATTGATCTTTGAGCTTTTTCGACACTTTTTGTTTTCACCAAAACTATGCAAAATATTCCCCGGAATGTTTGAAATCACTTGAAATTACCGATTAATTATTGCCCAGCTTGAACTTTGACATTTTCATTTTGTCGATTATTTCGATAACGAAGAGGAACAATTTTTGTCAACCTTACATCAAATTCCTTTTCTATAACTATCTTCTTCTTCCTAAAAGATCCTTTGATTGCTTGATGACAAATTGCAATTTGTAATATTATTAAACCTAATTTCACATTTGTAATTCGTTATAAAAGTGGAAAAAAAAGAATTTCGAAATAGAAAACGAATTTTTTTTTTTCGAGTACCAATTACAGGAAGACAAAACGATCATTGTTCAAAGGAATTTAGCCATAAAAGGGAAGTTGTGCTATGCGTAAATTAATTTCAGACAATATGTACCAATAAAGCAATTCCATTTAATGAAATATCAAATTGTATTTAAAATTTTGTTAATTCAAAGAAGGATTAG